ATAGAACCTAAAGTCACATATGTTCATTGATACCCTCCGGAGCTTGGCCTACAGTTCATAGCGATTATGATAAGTAAAAATAATAATTTATATTTAAGGTGCTTATAGCCATACTATCAACCTCAAAAAATATTTCAAGCTAAATATTTTTTCAACGTACTTTGATACGCAGTACTAAACGAAAATCCAAAGTATAAGAAGAACTAAAAAATAAATGCCTTGAAAGTCTGAGGTTCCAATTGCGTAAACATTTATTTGTATGATTTAATTTTCGAAAAATAATATGGCTAGCCTCTCTTAAACTTTCATATGTTATAGAGAATTGTAAATTAAAATAGGTTTTTTTATTTTACAAATATTAGATGTGAAATCTTTTTTTCTTCTCTATTTCCCCTTAATTTCTAAGACCTTATTTAAGAAGTTAGTAAGTATAAGTATATAGCGAGAAAGACTCGTTGCTTTCTTTCGCTATGATATACGCGGGTATATATAGTTATATAGCTGTAGTCGGCATTTCCATGCACACCACTCCTCTCTTCGTGTGCACATATTCAGTATACCCCTTCCACGCGTCTCCGAAGTATGTGCCTACATGCCCATTTCCACGCGAATCTGTAGGCACACACTCGGAATACCCCCTCCACGCTTCTCAAAAAAAAAAAAAATATGTGTGCCTGGTTCGACCGCTTGGCCGCGACGGGGCGCTCGAAACAGTGACGAAAAGTGAACTCGCGCCGTAGCATTGCAGTCAGCAATCTCTCTACTAATCTCTGACTATGACTATCTATTGTAAAATAGAGGCGACTGTACTTGTTACTTCTTGTCTACAAGCTACATTCGTACAGTATGTCCGTATACCAAAGTTGGATATAAGATTTTCCAGAGTTTAGCCATAATTATTGCGGAATTTAATTATTAAAAATAACAATAATCATATAAGAAAAACACTACTACTCATAACTTAAATTAATATAAATGCATAGATTGTTCCAAAGAAAAAGATTGATAATATATATGATGTTATTAATTGTCAAAAAACGAAGTTTTGCAAAACGTATTTATTTAATACATATTCATTTTTTTTCGTAAGCGTCTATAGATATGTTGACGATAAAATATTTAGCTAAAACAAAATTTACTTTTATTTTCGCATTATACATATATAAATCTGTAACTCGTCATTTTGAGTGGTTATCTTTGATATATTAAAAAAATAATCATTGGAACAAAGAAAATTTTCTTTTTCACTTCATTTTTTACTAACTTTCACGAACTATAAAAAAAGTCGAACCCCTTGGATCATGAAGTTTTGGAGAGTTTGCGTTTTTAAAATGCTTTTATTCATAGCTTATTGAGTTATCAGGTACTTATTTGAAAGCGCGCGTATAATTGGCGATTTTTCGGGCGATTTTAGCGGTACCTGCTGGCGACTTTCGGCGACTTTTAGGGTGCTCGACGCTCGTGGCGACATCAGCGGCAGATCATCTGGTCACCCTGGCCCTAATTGGTGCAATTCTGTTTTTACTTTTTTTACACGTTCAACGATTGTAATACGATAAAAGCCTTTTATTACAATGTTTTTGAGGAGATGACAATACCTTAGCTATTTTTTCTCAATTTAAATTAGTTTTTTGCAGCTTCAAACTTTCCTTTGAAAGTTCGAAAACGAACATTTAACCTGCAAAAAGTTCTCCCGTTCCCGACTATATATAAGAAAATAAGCGGGATTTTGGTAAAGTTAAATATGCGTTTTCGCACTTTCAAAGGAAAGGTTTAAGCTGCAAAAAACTAATTAAGTTGGAAAAAAATAGCTAAGGTATTGTTATTTCCTCAAAAACATGTTATTGAAAGGCTTTTACCTTATTACAATCGTTGAACGTGTAAAAAAACAGAATTGCACCAATTAGGGCCTGTCTTACTTTTCCCCCAAGTGACTATATGTATCACGAGAGTCAGATGACCTTTTGGAATCCTAATAGTGCCTTAAGTTACGGACTACTTATCCTCAACGGAAAAAATTAATGTAAAAAAACATAGGAAACCGTAACTTTCTGTGATGTAATGTACAGTTTGGTTGAATTTCGGACCATATAGTTAGTTTGTTACGCTTTGTTATGTTTAATTATAGTCTACTATAATCCAACACATTATATCTTACGACTAGTTATATTGTATTATAATTCTAAAAAGACACTTGAATCTCGTGAAAAAGCAACTGTAGTAAACTCTAATAAATTAGATAGGAAGTGTTGTCATCTGTAATATTTCATAACAGCCTACAGTTTTTTGCAGTTTATTACACTTTTTTATATTTTGGTATCATTCATAACTTTCAGACACATTTTCTTACATTTTCGAATAAAATTTGTCTTAAATGAAAAAAAATTGAGTAATTATTAGTGTAACAGTATTTGGTAGATCATATCAAAACGTAAAGAAAATATAAGAAAACGTAACAGAACATAATTAAATGTAAGAAACGTCCGAAATCCATGAGACTATTAGAGTTCCTTACATTTTCTTGCCGGTTACGGCATATTATTACACATGTTTACATTTTCTTACATTTTGTTACGTTTTCCAATTTCCGCTGGGAATGGTTTAATTATATTTTTAAATTATATATANGTTAATAATATAATTAAAAAAGTAAAAGTTACATTAAGCTTTAATTTACGCATTATTCACACTGTTTTTTTATAGTTAATAATATAATTAAAAAAGTAAAAGTTACATTAAGCTTTAATTTACGCATTATTCACACTGTTTTTTTATAGTTAATAATATAATTAAAAAAGTAAAAGTTACATTAAGCTTTAATTTACGCATTATTCACACTGTTTTTTTATAGTTAATAATATAATTAAAAAAGTAAAAGTTACATTAAGCTTTAATTTACGCATTATTCACACTGTTTTTTTATAGTTAATAATATAATTAAAAAAGTAAAAGTTACATTAAGCTTTAATTTACGCATTATTCACACTGTTTTTTTATAGTTAATAATATAATTAAAAAAGTAAAAGTTACATTAAGCTTTAATTTACGCATTATTCACACTGTTTTTTTATAGTTAATAATATAATTAAAAAAGTAAAAGTTACATTAAGCTTTAATTTACGCATTATTCACACTGTTTTTTTATAGATAATAAATCTATAGATTAGCAGATTTGTTTCACCTATCATATAGTTCATGCTACATCCCGCAAGACAGCGGTACCTGTTGCTAGAGGGTGCGAATGCGAATTACGTATTCGCGAGCGAGCAAGTCTCTCTATACTATTTTTAGTCAATGTCTCTACGTTAGTGTCGGTTCTGGTCGGTTATTAAAGTGTATAAGACGAACACAAATGTAAACAAACTTACAAACATCAATCAATCATTGGTAGTACGAACGAACAAGCCATAGTTAATAAAAACGTAACATAAAATTTAGCTCACTATAAAATAGTGAGATAACTTGTTAAAAATGTCATACTCTCCAAAGGATTTAACTGATTTTACTAGCTTAGCTGAACTAGCAGGGATTCAAGCAGGTCCTGGTATTTTGGGGTAATTTTTTGTTCAACCTAAGTCAAAATTATTTAGTTGATTCATAACGCTAGCTTTAAATCGTTTTTTTTTTTTTCAGAATTTTAATCCAACTGCTGTCTCTCCAAGTATCTCCGGAGGATATATACGTCTTACTGAAGCAAATATCTCCTGTATTTCAACAAAAAAAGAAAACCCAAAATTGAGGATAAAAGTAACCAAAAAAAGCAAGTAGCTGCACCATAGGCATTACATGTATTGCCTGAGCCATGCTCGGTGTTTTATTTTTGAATGCTACCAATGCTCAGGTCAAGGCCCATGCAGGCTATCTTCCTTATGAGATAACTTGAGCCAACTTGCGATTGTGTCTCAATAAGTACTCACAACACCATACACCACTGAAGGCACAGTTTGTGATTATTATGTATGCAGGCATGGTTTTAAACACCCTTAACAGATCCTTATTACAAACACTAAATTATAAAAATATTTGCTTTATTAGAAAGGTTTGATCATGCAAAATTCAACTTTCAGTATCGTTATTTCAACATTAACATCTATCTTTAATAAATAATCATTCGATTGTCTTCTTTATAAACATGTTATGTCTTTCTGTAATGTTCGCTCCCATCCCTTGCAAGCTTATCAGCCATTTCATTTCCGTGGATTCCAACGTGACCACGAACGTGATTCTGAAAGTTGATTTTTTTTTTTTTTATTTGGACAAAAATTATTTTAACAACTAATAAACATACCCAAGAAACTTTCAAAGGGGCAAGGGCTTTCTCCATTTCTATCAGCTCTTGTTTATTGATGACTGGTTTATTACTAGAAGTTTGCCACCCAGTTTTTTTCCATTTAGGCATCCACTTGGTTATACAAGATATCAGAAATTGGGAGTCCGTATTAATTTTCAGTTTTTTAATGCCAGCTCTTTGTGCTTGCTGGGCAGCGATTGTTACAGCTTGTATTTCTGCCATGTTGTTGGTTGGTCTACCAGTTACAGCTTGGGATACATTACTGAAAAAGCAAAGTTGTGATTTAGTCACTTGACAAAGTTTTAAGAATTTTCGGAAATTGTGGTATTAGTTTGAAATCCATTCAGATAATGTTGAAATCAAACTAGTTTTGTTTGACAGTTAAAAAACAAGAACCATTTAGCTATTTTAACGGCTATTTTAATGTAGTGAAAAGTTTTGTCTCAATTATTTATGAGTTAATAGAAAGAAATATTACTATTTGAGGCCAAACATGTTTATCAACTCTTATATATGGTTCGTAATTAAAAGTTCAATCGAAGAGGTAAATACTAACTATGAATTGTTATCAGAAAACCACACTCCAATTCCTGCCTTTGCGTTTCCTCTTCCATTGGATGAGCATGCTCCATCAGTATATACTTCTGTGTAACCGTTCTCATCGACAGTGAACTGCTTTGCATTCTACAAAATTTTTGTAAAAATTGATGGTCAAACGAGTACATGATTTGGATGATATTTGATCCAAAGTCAACATACAGATGTTGTGGAAAGGCTTTCTGATCTGAATTTTTTTTTCCTCTGGTACACATTTTCTGATGCATTGTCAGAGTCGCTGGAACTGGACATTAGCCTTTTAGATGAAGTGCTGGCAAGCAATCCATAACTTTTGTCAAACTTTCTGGTTTTTTGAGGAAAACATTGCATAGAACTTTTATATCCAGACGTTGACGTTCCGGGGTACGACGAAGATACACCACTACGTTGTTGGATAAATTCTTCAGCATCTTCTCGAGTATTGAACTTTTTGAAGACTGCACCAGAAAATTTATCAACTTGGTCTTTGCATTCATCCCTGATACAATAAAACAAGATTTTAGTTTTCATTATGTTTAGAGCTTAACTAAATTTATGTTACGTCAATGTTACCATTGCCTATAAATACCGGGACTTCTGCCTTTTGCTACTGCATAGTAACTCATGATCTCTTGAATTCGAATTCGTAGTGCAGTTGAAGTCCTAAATATTCTCGGTTCATTGACAATAAAATAAAAAATATTACGCATGTATAATACTTACAAAATTGAAACAAGCTTGACTATTAATATCAGGCTCTATTCACAATTTCAACTCAGGAAACAAAAGTCGTAATCACTGACTTTTGTTTTTATTCAAACCATGGCAAGTGTGATAGAGATGAGCATAAGATAAGCATATATAGATGTGCTGTTCCATTATTTGCCCCTGGCGTATTATAGACTAAAACCTGAGGGCTGGGGGCCAAGAGTAGTCGAAAATCTAAACCAGCCGCGGCTCTAATCAGAAAACCTTTCATATTGCGTAGAAATTCGAAACATATTTGCCATAATTTAATCTGGTGAAGAGGTTATAGTAGTGTCAAATAGTCAATTTTATAAACCAGCCGCAACTTAGACCAATGATTGGACAATAATAAATTGTTTAACTATCATATGCCATATGCGGTAAGATTAGAGTTTATCCGTGAGTCTTAGAATCTTAGAATTTATTAGTGTTGGCAAACACTATTATAATACTAGCGAAAGTAATAGTGTGTCGTTTGCTTAAAAGAAAATTTATTTACATGACAAGCCACTTGAATAATCTCGCTTTGTTTACTGACTCTCGTCATTTTTTGGTGCTCTTGATAATGTTGAGCCACTGTTACAGTCTTATACACAAATTTTTTTACTCATTTTAATTAATTTATTCATAAATCAATCAATACAAATTTTAATACAATTTTACAATTACATTCATTATTTTTATTTATCCCTTTCAGTGTTTAATGGCTCGAGATGCACCGAGCTCGGTCCTCGTTTCTCTATGCGACACCTGGCACGTAATGACACAAAATTTTCACAAAAATTTACTGTAGGACGTGGGCAATAAGTATTGGGAAGGCAATAACCCAATAACACAAAAGATGACGTGACTCTCACGATATATATTATGTAGCCAATAGGGTGAAAAAATAAGACAGGCCTTATGAGTGAAATTCTATTTTTATTTTTTTTTCACACGTTCAACGATTACAATAAGATAAAAGCCTTTCAATAACACGTTTTTGAGGAGATAACAATTCGAGGTGTAAACCAACTCCTAGCGCTCCTAGCGTATTTTATCTGAACTCGAGTTGGGTCCAGCCGCAAATGATTTGAACATATGAAAACTGTCTAAGTTAAATTTAATGTTTGGTATTTATTATTCTTCGATCAAGTAATGTTATAAGACTAATTTAATAATGACGATTGTTTATAAATTGAAATTTCAAAATCTGTTGAACGTAAAAATTAGTGGATACGAAGGTGTAATATAATAAAGCAGATTGGATCAAAGTCTGCTGTACGCAGTGCACACTTTTTGGCATCAAATTACTTACTAAGACGATAAATTTTAATCATTGGTGGCTGAGCCCAACTTGAGTTCAGATTAAATACGTTAGGGGCGCTACGAGTCGGTTTACACCACGAATACCTTAGCTATTTTTTCCCAACTCAATTAGTCTTTTGCAGCTCGAAACTTTCCTTTGAAATTTTTCGCGCAACACCAAAGCTTTCACGACTGGCTTTAAACTCATTGATTCTTTATTTATTCGTAGTAATTTTACAAGTACAGAGCCTAGTTGAAACTGAATGGTGCCTAAATCTAAACGCAGTCACTCACAAGCCACTTCGCACAATTCACTCTGATAAGTAATTTTTCTCACTAACTATGATATCTTATTAAAATTGAATTTTTTTTTATTTGAAGGTCTAATGTTATCATGAAAAAGATGTAGGGGTAAACGGTACAGTTAATGACCCCCTGATAGTAATTGACCGTCACATGCATTTTTAAATGGAGCCTTTATATATAGATATACAAATTATACAGGGGTCAATCACTACCTTAAGGTGTCAATAACTGTACCGTATTTACAAAGACAATAGTTTTTTCAAGCTGTTCAAAGCAAGTTATTGACTGATACAAATTTATGAAGTGTTCTAGTACTGGTAAAACAATTTAATTTACGGCAGTTACCAAATAAAAAATGATAAAATTGACGTAGTCTCTTTCAATAGAAATATCCGTTAAAATTAAAATTTTCAAGTTTACTTTGCAGCATATTCATTTCTTTCATTATTTTGATCACAAAGATCACGTATTATTGATCATAAATATTAAAAAGAATCATAAGTAGAATCATGAGTAAAAACAAGTACGTCCGTCTATTTAAAAGAAAAAGTATAAGATCATTAAATATTCAAACTTATGATAATAATAATAAGTAGTGTTAGAATTTAATTTCTTGCCTCTTATTATTTATGTATATATTGCGAGCGTCGAGAAAGACACGCCTCTTTATCCATGCTGCTTAAATTATTATACCAATATATCTTTTTTTTTATATTATAGTGCTCTACACGTTCGGCTTCTTTAATAAGGGCACTTAGCTCTTGGGAGAGGGACAAGAAAAGGGATGGGAGGCCTCCCATTACTGGAAGGGGGGTAGGGGGAAATTAGGCAATTTTTGCTGCGAGAAGGCTGCCTTTAAACCCTCCTCGAGGAGCATTGCGTGGTGAAAAAGCACATGAGAAAAATCCCAGAGGTACTTGCCCGAAAAGTCGCGCTGGCCGGGAATCGAACCATGGTCTCCCGCTTGCCAATCCACAACCTAGCCGCTCATACAATAAATCGCTTGATTTATTGTATCACTCCTTCCTTCCCTTGTGGTTTATTGTTCGGGAGTCAATCATTTTGAAGACAAACGTTAATAATAATAATAATAATAATAATAGTAATATATTTTTATCAAGAAAAGTAGTTAGTGATGGCGTTAACTCGTTATAATTATAAATACTCAATTAAATACAGAGACTTGAAAAGAATCATACATAACTGTTAATAAAAAGTTTGTGGACAGTATTATAGAACTATCAGATTTTCTTCTTTATGTTGATGATTCATTGACATTAAAATACAAACAAGATCACAATCGTAATTGAAGTCGTTAAATAAAACACCCGATAGAAAGTACAGAATGATTCCTATAAATCAAAAAAATTTTAAATAAAATTTTTTATCCACACAATGGAACTGAAATTATCGTAGCTACTATTATACTTATATAAATTATGGAACTGGAAACTACGTTCGTACAGATATCATTTTCTAATGATATAAATTTAAATAGTTTAAGAATAGTGAAAAAGTTTGCTTGCTTTGTCTACGAGATGAATGAAAAAATACATTGAGGAATACACATCAGACAGGAAGGTTTAAAGTTATCAAAGTCACTGAACCATTTCAGTCCAAATAAAACATTGTTTATTGTATGAATCATTTGTATAAATTAATAAATAATAATACAATACATCTTTTGTGTTATCTTCTAGTATAAATTTTCTTGGTACTAAAATTATCACACTAAATTTTTGTTGTACACAGGATCGATTGCTATCTTAGCTTTTTGACCAATCAAAACCTTTCTTCGTGTTCCTCTACTTAAAATTTTTTTTCTCGTCCAAGACTATATTTTTATCTTTTTTTTTTTTTTTATATTTATACCTAATAAGACAAAATTTTATGGTATTATAAAGAACACATAAATGCACTATCACTGACTTACAATGACTATAAATGTTGAAATGTCAATAAATATCACTCAAAGAGTTAAAAAGTAATGGATTAACGATTTAGAAAAATATAATTATTAAATTACGCATGTTTAAATGTGAATATTAATACGCTGCCATGAAAAAATCACTGAAGAACGCAATAATTATCAAATTCGTATTTGTTTATTTATTTGTAATTTTAAAAAAGCCATGTTGTGTTCCTTTGTATAGTTTTAATATATATGTGTAGCTCAGAAAAAATAAAAAGAAAAATCTGTGTATAATTTTGTTATAAATTCTATTTTAATTTTAGTTTGTAATGAGAATAATTGTAGTTAATGTTATTAATCTATTAATGGACTGTCTAAAACTTTAAGAATACGTTTTTCAAAATTAAAAGGAGATGCACATCTTATACTGTAATGTTTTCCACTTAGACTTTAGCAAAAAAAAAAAAACACATACTTGACTTAAAACGAGCATCTAAATGATACTGGTAAAGTGATATAATAATGTCAAAATAAAAAATTGCTGGTAATTAATTGATTTTCATTATATTTGATCAACTATTGAGCATATTAGTGAGTTTTATAAATAAATTCGATTATTGGAAAATTTTGATTCGCATATTATTTTTTGACTTAAGCACATCTCCTTGATAAGTCTTATAGAGAACGTTGTCTAATGTATTTTTTAATTTTGATCAGTCTTCCTAGAAAAAAGCTAGCCGTAAAAAGTAATTCCAAAAATTTTTTTGTTTCACCAAAAAAAACGTAGACTGACAAATAAAATATACATTACCTCAAACAGCAAAAATTTCATCATTAATTGCGTACATTTATGGATATTTTTAAACATAAAATTATATTGTTTAGTATTATGTGTATGTATCTATCTAACAAGTACTTTGGCCGTTGAAAATTCTTGAGTGTATTGTCTGTTGAAATAATAATAGGTTTTTTTAACTACATAACAAGAGTGCCAAATTTTTTTCCTTATTTTTCCATAATATTTCTGAGTGTGATTTATAAAAAAATCTTGGCTTACATTATTAACAAGCAGATTATTACAATATCGTTGATTTTTTTTTCATAACAGACATCAGTTTAAGCTAGCTCTTAATAGGCTGAAGTCCTGAACACATTTCGTATTTAAAATACTTTTTTTCTCTTTGCTGGTAAAAAAGCTTATATCTATAGTATCTCTTTTTCTCTTTTCTTTTCTACTTCAACATAAAAAAAATTTTTTCTCAATAGAAAATCTTTAATGGGATCGTTAATAGCACATTGATTGCACGATCAAAAGATATTACATGCATTTCACTTTTCTTCGAATAAAAATTAAATAGACCGATCTTGCACTACTTCCTTCTACCTCAGTAACATTTATAACTTTGCGTACTATGTAATATTGTATATTTTAACACTATAAGAATAAATATATGCATAGATACATTTTTTTCATAATCAATAATACAAGATATTTACATGATGGTTTTTAGTTCTTACGTTGAATAAAAATATTTCAAAGTGTCAGATCTTAAATGATAGACATGTTTACTGCAGTGTGTATTTTATTAAATAAATTAGTTACGCAGTAATCTCAACTACCCTGACGTGAGCACAGTTTCGTTAAAAAATAATTATAATAACTTCATGATTGATTTAAAATTCACTAAAACGATAACTCAGCCCTACGTTATAATATTCTTGGTCAACCCACACGAAATACTGGGTATCATAAACTAAAAGGTAGTAGAGGATTTTGCAAAAAAAATTTTAGCTTAACAAAAATATTATTATAACTCCCTATTTTAAATACTAGCACCGTCAAGTAATGAATGAAAAATAAAAGTTTATGTATAAAAATAATACCCTAAGTTCTGGTTCCATTATATTATTGTTTTGGGGTGATCTTGTAATCTAATCACTTTATATTGTATACAAGCTCGTCTGGATTTTGTATTTATTTGTTCATTATGCAAGTATTGTACTATACATCTTTAAATTTATATTTATCATGCTATACTCCAAGGAACATTGTTTTCTTTTATTTTAATCTATATAATAAAATATTGTATATTCTTTATGATTCAGAGATATTTATGACTTTTGCAACCACCAATACTTGAATACTTATTTTACAAAAAGTATGTATCAAATAATAAGAAATGTTCTTACGCGTATGAATAGTTTTTAAAATGTTGGATCAAAAGATCTACTTCCAATAAATAAACAAAATTATATTTTCCTATGAATTTTGTTTCCTAAAAACACACTCTTTTTTTTACGATGGTAAAAATCACCGAAAGAAGAGCCCTCCGAAAATTGATCTTTACTCCTGACGAGGAAAAGATAGACTCCTAAATTAATCTGAAATTAAGAACTGATCAAGTTCAGTATACAAACTTCTTAAAACCAAAGCCAGGCGAGCTCTTTGTTTAAATGCGCTCGTCAAACAACCGTTTGAAAGTAAAAAAAAAAAAAAACTATTATAAATGCAGAAAAAGCTCGATTCTTTACGACCTACAACTTGTACATTTTCCAGAAGATCGTTTATGAGACTCGTGCTGAATTGTAAAATTTGAAAAACAAATGCACAACTAATGATGCCGCTTCCCATTCAGTTGCAGACGTTTCGAGAGAGCTTGCAAGCAACATAAGTCAGCCGACAAAGCTCTGTTGCTCGAGCCCTGTTTATTTGTGTGTGTGTGTGTGTGTATGTGTGTGTGTGTACAAAACATACGTTAATATGTATTTCATCAAGTGTAACTGGTTTCACACTTTTTTCTTCAGTCTCGGACGCTTCTGCTGTACTTAGGCACTTTTAAAAAAATCTTTAACACTTATATTGAAATCGTTAATACGCCTCCATTTTTTGTCGTAATACTCATTGGATTGTTTCTTCTTGGTTCTATGATTTTTTTACACTGTATAGTGGACGGATGAAGGCCCCTCACAATAGATCGCCTACGCATGATTGTCACATTAAGCAGAAACAGGACGTGCCTTTCGGTGCTGCCGGATGCATGCGCCGTGAGAAAACCCTCAACAACTGTCGGTGTACCCTGCACATACGTTAGACATGATATTAAAATGTGTAGGAATGTTTATTAGCAATTCGATGGAGAAACTTAATTTCGCAATCCTCAGTGACGCATGACGTCGTTATTCAGCGTCTAATATATTTTAAGGTAGCTGCCTTGCGAATTTAATAATTCCGCATTGCATGTGTGATATTGTAGAGGTAAAACTATTAAAATCCTATTTTAATGCGATTTTATATCCTATGTTTATTAAAAACTATTTTGTATTTAATTTAACCTATTATTGGAAGTCTTTCACGTAGGAATTCGAATTAAAGTTAAACAAATATATCAGTTTAACTTTAAATTTTGCGCTATATTAAAAAAAATGTAGTTATACGTTCAGTTTTTATAGGATAGTTTCATTTTTTGTATCATAAATAAAGCTACGTGATTTGGGCTTAACCCCACTCCTATTCCCCTACAATATATATATGTATGTAGCTTCGAGTAGAATTTTGTTACAATCACCTCTCCCCACCATGGATAGCAACAGATTTTGAGACCACGATTATTTTAAGACAACCCCTTCTTTGTGATTGTGTTCTTTGGTTATTAAAGGTCATACACTATTGTTAAAAAATTACACAAGTTAGGATAATCCCTGAGTGCATAAGTTTTAAGTATTTCCTAGTTCATAAGTGTGTAAATATCGGTGCGCAAAGTACCTTATTATCACTGAAGGTTGGAGTGTACCATTCAGAGAGACGAGGAACAGAGAGCCCCCCGGCCCGCGCAAATGTACCCCCTTTACCGCGTACTTGCTCTTGAACTCTACAAACTTAAAACTGTACGACTGTAATTGATTACATTTTTGAGAAATGCCTGGTGGTGAGGCTTGATTGTTTGTGGTGAGTATCTTTCTTTTGTACTCAGGTATCTCTAAAAATGTTTTTTCTTTTATACTTACACAATTGTAATATACCCTAATTTCAATTAAGAGGCAACCTAACCTTATTTCCTCATAAGGGACCGTATTAAACTTTCATTATTCAATCATTTTTTCTCAAAAATTTTCCTTGAATAATCTGAAAAATTCATGTGCACTCTGGGGGTCTAATCAAGAAAAAAAATTATGATATCTTGGTACAACTAACAAACACACTTACGACGACAAAGGGCACGAAGGCACGGTTGGCTAAGGAACCCGTACAATAGTAGGTTTTTTCGTCTTTGCATATTTAGACTTTAAGCCGCTATCGCGATCAGATCCCTAATATACTTATAATAAAACTGTCCACATAATAAAATATGAGTTCATTGAGTCTATAATGTGTACTCAACAAAAAAAAATTTCTTTTACTTTTATGAAAAAAAGATGAAAGAGATGTTTTATGGTACAGTGATGTCTTATGGTCACCTTATCGTGACGCTCGAAGCGTTGATGACCTCGCCATCGCAGTTCCAAACACTTGAGGCCGAACCACCAAGACCTGAAGGCTGTGACGAGTGCATGTCCGTAGGATTTGCCGCCCTAAACGTGAATTCTTTTGCACGGTAGACTTCCACGAACGGCAGATCATACTGTAAATGAGATAAAACTCACATTGTAGAACCCATAAAGTACCACTCATGTATCGTAATCTTAAATAAGTGTCATTACCAGAGTCTTATCCTTACTGGCGAGCCTGAGCATCATTCGCACGTTATTTAACAGAGACGTGTGCCGGACAAGGATTACGTCGACGCAGCCGTCTCCAATGTGACAGTGTGGGCTAAAGCCCATCGGGCTCTTAGAGCATGCGCACGATATGTTAGCACCGTTTATCATGAAAAACTTGCCTTTTACTTTCAAGTACTCTGAAATACACATAACAATATATGTTTTGACTTACAAGATAAGAGAAACATCAATTGAAACAAATCTGGAATTGACTGATGATCAAAAAATATTATATCTAATGTAGTAAAAAAATTGAGTTTACTTTTTCTTTCGATTCAAAAACTATTCATAACCGAGTGAGGTACGTTTCTAAAACGGTATTAAAACGTCAAATTTACCGCTTTTCTTAGTATCGTAAAAGTTCCCTAAACGTTCCAGAAGCAAGCAAAGTAACGTAAATTTTTTGTGATTGTTTTTGTAGCTCAACCAACATAGTGTCTAAAACTTACTGTAATAAGATTGCTTTCTTCCAACGTAACTCTTTAGAAACTAACAAATGTAAAGTGTTACCGTATCGCAAGAAACCATCAACAAAAAGATTCAAGATAGTTGTTTCCGTTTCTTAATCATTGAGAAAATATTGACTCAATCACGAAGAGCGGTAATATTGACATTTTAACAATGTTTAAAATACAAAATTTTGTTTATAGGTGATGTCTCTAAATTTTAAATTATATAATGCTGAAACGTTCCATAAACAAAGTGTGCTACTTGGGGTTTTAGGTTTTTGTGTAGTTTTTGACTTTCTAGTAATAATATCCACTCTTTACCGCTGAGTCATACATACACCTAGAAGTCAGTTGAGGGTAACATGGAATCTTTTTAAGTTATTAGAACTACAGTATGCTGTATATACACCTGAAAAGATTCTGTACAGAGACTTAGATACAATTCCACTTACACCTGAACTCAGCATACTCGGGATAGATTTTTGCTGTTAATATATACGTAGTTCCTCGTATCACAACCTTCAATAAATATAGTTCTTAAGAAATACAGATGTTTAGAAAGGCAAGTAATAAAGTGGTCGTAAAATATGAAACTTTCTATAAAAACCATACTCTTTAAAAAACCATTTTGAAACCTGAAGCATTAGTTTTGTCAGCTACAGAGTCTTTTTTTAGTACCTTATGAGATCGTCAAGATCATTATAAGTACAAGATATTTTTAATATTGGCTTAATAATATGATAATATTGCTACCAACAAACAATATACGTAAGTAACAGGCTTAAGAAGATATAGTAAGTGAGTTAGTCGAGCTTTTGGCGAATCAGCAAGTAGCATATAATAAGAAAAGATAAACGACTTAATAGCCCTCTTTAGAACGCAAGTATTATAACCCTGAAGCAGTTTTTTTTTTATATGTAAATACGTACTATAATTTCGATTTGCCAAAAAAAGTCTACGTGCATTTATATGCATGTCGTAAAAAAAAAAAGTGAAATGTATTTTGTGTATTATGTACTTATGCTGCATGATATGTTTAAACGAAACAGAACAACTCACTTGATTCGTCGTCGTTATCGTCGTTGTTCTCGGAACTGCTGCAATGCACCGAACGCTGAGTGCAGCGTTCACAGTTTTTTTCGCACCTTGTGCAAGCAGCCGGATTGACGGATTCTGGTAGTAGCTCGACTTCCGCCTCGTATCCTTTATTAGCGATTATCTTTTTGAGCCCTGCGTAACCCAGCAACATTAAAATAGGTCACAAATATATTACAGAATTGATATGTTTTACGAAATGGTATGTAAAAGCTTCCAATAATTATTCACTGATCATGCGCTATTAATTCATCCTATTTTTAGCATCTTGTACAAGCATTTTCTTGCTGAGCATGTGTGGCAAATTCGCAGCTGAATGTTTTATTTTGATATGCCAATCAAGCAACAAACACAGAATATGGTATGTCCCAATTATCGATCTTTTTTTTTTATATCTTAATATAAAGTTTTTAAAAACTGAATGAATTATTATTGGGATACCAAAAAATCATTTTTTTGGGACTTATAAAACATATATTCCGTCAATGTTTCAAGTCTTCATATCCAATATTACGAAAGTTGCGGAATTTCGAAAAAACGGCCAATAAAGTGTTTTTTTGCAATTTATTAAAAAACTACTGGACCGATCAGAGCTCAAAAAACCTCGTTCGATTCGTATTTCTATTGCGCACTTTTTATTTTATTACACTTTATTTTTCAAATGCATGGTTTTTCCATAAACCGCAAAAAAGTGACTTTGACGATTTTTGCCATTTTTTTAACCATCTTGCCCTATTGGGATCTGTGTTTAAACTTAATTTCTTATTTGTATTGTTATTATCTAACAAAAAAATATTTTAAGTTGGAGTTTGCAATTTTATGTTTTTCGAGACCACGAATTAACTAACTTCACCCGACAATATGAGCCTTAGAAGGAACATTACAGAGACTAAAAGTTGGTGAAACTCTACAATACACAGTGTGCATACGTGACCATAGAGAAGCACAAGCTAATAGTTTTTCCAGAGAAGTAGGTAGTTCACAGAGAAGGAAATCCAAGAGAAAAAGGTGATGGTTTCTTCCGTTTAAAGTTTATTCCTCTTATTTTATATGTTTTATTCATTCATTCATCATTTTAGTACTTTTTTCCAGCATCAGCACGATCAGTATTACCTTCAAATATTTTTGATATTAAAAGTATTTGTTAAACTGTGAATGGAGAAGTGAAACTTGTGTGTGACAAGTAATTAAAAATCATTAGCAACAATTCATATTTCTCTTTATAGCTATTTTAGTTTCCAATGACAATTAATTTTACTGCCTTAATAAGTAAAACAATGAAAATCAAGTAATGAGAAAAAAAATCACATATTTCTATTAAAAATCAATACTTGTACGTGAGTGCTATAAACAGTGCTAAGCGCACCCTGCTTCATAAATTATTCTTAGCTCTTGCACAACAACTTCTTCAAGAACCTGTCACTCTTTTAAGCGTTGGTTCGCTTTTAATAAAAACGAGAAACACCAGCTTTACGCATTTAGGTCATTTTTGCACCTGGCAGCTGTCCAGAATTATCCCATGTTCGACCGACCAACCGCTGCTAAACAGTCAACAAAACAACTCTGGATTAATTGGGTAGATAGCATAATCCGTTTAGCGGCATAAATAAGCTCGTCTCATTGCGACAATCAAGAAGCAATACTCACTGGAACTATCTAATGTGGCCATTTGAGGGGGCTCCTATGACTACTGCTGAGGTCAAAGACAAACAAATAATAAAGTTTTGTTTTTCAATAAACAAATGTGTCTGAAAATCATTATGATATTTTTAATAACGTATGAAGTGGGAAAAATGATATTTATGTGTGCAGTTTAACTTTGTACGAAAAATGAACTATTGTTTTGACCAGTCTAGTGCATACGAGGGTACACCACCAGACCAGACCACCTGTGTTGGTGTAGTATAGCGATGTAATATATAGGTATATGGTATATATATGTCGTGAACAAGTACGTCTGCTACCCACGTGACCTCCTGACCTCCCGGACACTATTTATTTATTTCCATCACAAATATCTCGCTAAAATGGTCCTTTATCCACAATTTTTAATACAGCATATTACAGAGGAAGACTTTATCTACAAAACGTGTATATTCAGTCTGCTGGGACATTTAATTGAGGTTTATTATAAACGAAAACAAATTGTGCCCCATAGGAACACGTGCTAATAGTTACAACTTTGAGCTCGGATTTCTCAAAATTTTGACCCATTCGAAATATAATTTAGAACACCATTAAATTCAGTAGACTTTTATTTACAAGAAATAATATATCTCTGTTTGGGGACTTTCGTGAAGGAGCCCCCTTAAGGCACTATCCAGGAAATAATTAATTATTTATTGTTGGGTGCACGTATTTACCGTTAGATTAATCTCGACCGTAGGAGTGGTATTAGACAGATAACTTTTTTTAATAAATGAACCTTTTATAAAATCATTTAAACAAATTGCTTATTATTACGTGATGGGATGATTAATTTCATGGAGTATCATACTGCGTGAAGAACTGAGCCATCGGCGTTAGTTTAACCCTGGCTTTACATATGTATGGATATACTGTGTTGCGAGCTGCTACAGATGCTAAGTAAAGCAAATGTGCATAAGTACAAAATGCTAGAAGTATAAGAATGAAATAAGAACGCACGGTCAAGGACTGGTCTCTGGGGATGAAAAAGAATAGCTTGATAGACTGATCAGATCCTTACTTTGTTTGCTGCTTATAGGATATGTATACATAATTTGAGTTTTATAACAATACATATCGTATATTGCAATCAACGCATATCCCATAGCCTTTATATGTAACGGAAATTGCTATATTTTTTAAATAACTCTTTTTCAAAAAATACTTAACTGTTGTAAAAATTTTTTTAATTCCCACATAAGAAATTAGAGTAGTTAATTTAAAATTATTAACAAACAGACAAAAACACCTTCGGCCGGGAACTTTTATGTTATGGAGAAGATAAGTTACTAATTGCTCTATCAGTAGTAAGTGCTTATCTCATCCTGTCTCGTTTCTGGAGTCAAATGTTAATGCTATCATATGAATAAAGCATCACATAAATACATGTAGATGTTCTAATTCTATACATTAGACGAGAGATACATGAAGCTCAGAATCTTTGGAGACCGTATTAGCATAGTATAACGTTTTGATATAAGAAGAAGGTGCGTTTTTTACTTGTCAACCATGTTTAATTAGCTACCCAAATTTTTTATGAATAAATTTGAAAGACTTTTACGATGATTCGGCGTTTAAAAAAAAAAAGATACTTCAAAATATAATAATTTTTATCCAATCAGTTCTGAGAATTTCGAAAATATTGTTATATTTACGTCGTGTCAAAACAATCACAACTCATATCTCGACACAACAAATGTTTTCATTAGAGATAAGACGCGACTCGTAACGACATGTGATGGCTCAAAGTAAGATAAAATTTCGGAGTTCAAAATAGTTAGAGATGAGCAGCAATGATAACGTTTAAGACAATACCAAATGAGTAGAGCAGGCTTTTCGTTGCAGTTCACGTTGTTACGAAAAATACATATACTTTGCGTTATTTTTCTGCGGACTGCTGAAAGTGAGAAATCAAAGCCACCAGCAGATCTCAGCCAGTCGCAACGTAGAATCTAACTAAACCTACGTCAGCAAATCTTTCACGTCACGATAAAATGCGTCATGAGTAATACGTAATCTCTTTCGATATGCATAAATGATGTATCACCTAAGCAATTAACAAAATCAAGAATACTGACAAGAAAAATTTTTTCCACATTTCTGGGCTTCTTAAACCGAATTCGTACTTATTTAAATGAACAAACAATTGTTCATTTTATCTTCACACGACTGAATAGAAAGATGATTGCTTGCTTAATTTTAGAATGCTCGAGCATAATCATTATGCGTTTGCTTAACCGTATTCAGGTTTTAATTGTTTTAATTGAGTTAAATTTTCTCACAAATCATACTTAGAATTTCGTGCCAATTACGATTCTAGATGTCTAGTGCTCTATATATATATTTGATATGGAAATGACCCTTGTCAAGAGTACAAAGTAAACTCACATGCTGTATGTTTGTTTAAGCTTTTAAATGACTATTTTCTTATGTTCTACAGCTCTTTTTAAGATTTTTCATTTATTAAATTTTTCTTTTTTAATTTTTCGTGTCAGGTTAAACGGTGCAATCAAAATGTATCTTTTGATAACTAAAAACTATTAGTTTGATGTAATTTTCATAAATTCTAATGCATTAGACTTTGTTACATGCAGCTGTTTCGATACACTGTACTTTTTATAGACGAATAGGACACATGCACTGAGGACAAAATGAATAGTAAGTTCTCTCCTTGTAAGTGTCATCAATATAAATATATACAAATTGACATGGATAAAGAAGGTATTGCAGTGTAAACTACAACAGCTTTAACGAAGACTAATATCATAAGAATACGTGAAAGTTATGACATGAAACGTATCGTTTTATTCATTATCTAAATTAAATCGTAGATTATCATTAAATGAATGCCAAATTTATTGATTATTGGATGGATTAATATACTTTGTTTTTCTATAGTTTCTTTTTTTAATTTTAGTTGTCGAAAAAGTAAGTACAGCAAGTATATAAAAGAAAAAAAATCTTACCAGAATAGTCGTATCGCTGTGGTCCCATCCACCTGAACTTCTCGCTATCCCTGACAACGTCCCCCAAGTAACCGTAGCTTAAAATACTAGCGTAAATCCGAAGCAAACTTTGATCATTGTGCACCGAGGAGACGTCCAGGCCCGTCATGTCGCCAAATATGATGTGCATAACCGCAGTTCCGACGTCCGTCGTCCCATGAAGACTGTAGGCCAGCGTGTCAGTGCTACCACTTGGAATGACACCCAAGGGAAGAGCTGGTCTCGGCAGTTTCACATTTATATCGTTCAACTCGATACGCTGATCTCGGGCGGTTCGCATGATCATGCCGTTAAACAGCTCTGCGAACGTACCATCGCCACCCACGCTCACCGCTGCCTGTTTGTATTGTCAAAGATAAATAGGCAATTTGTATTTTTTTTCTTCATTACAAAGTGAGTGGATTTTTGGAGTTTAGTTTTTTTCTAATTATTTTTTTTTTCTGAGGAATTACGATAAGTGCTTCTACAAAAATGAAGAATTTTAGTCCCGATACTTTCCTACTTATTTTTGGTTTACTAATTTAGCGTTCGATTTTATTTTTATAGGAAGGAACGAAATTGGGCCATATTTTTTCTAAGTAAACAGAATAGGTTTAACATTGATAGTGTCCATTCAAAGGTGCAGGACTTCAAGGATGGACAACGAATTGTAAGGTAGGTTTTTAAAAAATCTTTTAGCATAATATTCGGAGTAGAGTTTGTATTTTTTATATTTTTTAACAATGTAAAGCTTAGCTGCTACTGCATTATATTCAATCCACCTGGGCCCAAATTTTATATTAAAGTGTGTCCTTTTAGATGAAAAAAGAATTACAATCGTTCATTGTCAGACATCTATGATGTTTGTGATCAACGCATATAGTCAATTTTATTACCTATACGTGCCATGGGTATATCTGTATATGCAACTAACATATATAGGTGTAGGTGTTGATAGACAATAACTGCATGTGAAAACGGTCATGCATCAATCCACACTACCGTAGCTGTCTGTCATTGAACGATCGTAAATCTTTTTCTATCAGCAAGTACATGCTTTAAAGTAAAATTTGAGCCCTGGTAAATAAAAAATAATAGTGTAACAGCTGAGAAATTATGTATTAAAAAATGTAAAAAACGATTTTTCAAAACTTTAAAAATTTATTACCCCAAAAATAAGAGGTTTAAGTGTACACATTTCAGTTAGATTTTTGTTTAAAATGTGATAAACGATGGAATAAAAAATTTTTGGAGCCAAAAGTCAAATTTTTGAATTTTAACAAAATTGTTATTAACATAGTCACTTGTTACGTACGGTAGCATATAGCTATGTGTGCGTGCGCCTCTGCTGGCTTGGGCCTGAAAGGTAGGGGAATAGAGAAGAGAGGTGATAGGAAAGGGAGATCAGCGAGAGACGCGAGAGGGTAAGGACGAAGTCCGCGAGACGAGAAGACAAGCACAACTTCCCTCAAATATAAGTAATTCTAATAAAGCATAAGTTCCCGCACCAAGAATCCCTCATAATACACTTTACAAATATGTATTATGATGCATGCAAATTTTTATAATTTATTACTTAAAATTTGTTAACTATTTTCTGTGTCTTGTAAAGTGTCATATTTAGAGAACCCATGTTAATTTAGATACTTTAAAAAAGTAAGACAGTAGTTATTGTAATTAATTCTAGTTATTTTGGATCAGTGTGAAACCCCTAATAAGTTCTTTGTAACAAAATTGAGTTTGGTACATAAACTCACTAGACATTATTCTTTGTTTTTTCCTAAAGAATTTCTTTTTTGTATAATTCATTTTTGTATTCTGACCAAGCGGAAATAATTTTATTTGATAAGTTGGTAATAATTATTTTT